ATATACAAGTTTAATATTTGTCCTTTTTTTTATTAAATATTATTTTGAGAACTGTTAATTTTAATAAAATAATTTTTTAACATTCTACAATCTATTTAAATTAAAAGTATTTTAAAAACATTTAACAATACGTAAATATTAAAATATTTTAAAAAGTTTATTTTTAAAAGTTATCTATTTTTATTTTGGCAATTTGTTTCTTATAATTAAATTTGTAAAAAATAACTTTACTGAAGAATTAAAAAATTTTCTTAGTAGAGATGGTAAATGTTTTTCTGAAAAATTTGATAATAGTAATAGTAAATCTAGTTTATTATTATGTTATGAATGATTCATAGTATTGAAAATCCTAATTCGTCCCTTGTGCGGGTCACAAATATACTCGCTATCAATAAGGGCGGGAAAATGTCTTTCCCAAGAACATATTAACAGTTATACTCCTTTAATCTGAAAATGTAATAAAGCCCACAAATGGTCTGCAAAATTTCACGAAGTCAAATGCACGCGGCTTATCCTTGAAGAAACTAATCAAATTGCGTCTATAAAAAAATGGTAAACGTTTATCTGAAAAATATCCCAATAGTCATCAGACTTTATTATGGCAATGTTTGCAAGCCTTGATAGTGTAAAAAATAAAAATACATGGTGTCCTAAATGCAATCATCTATTGAGACAGCACGTATTAAAAATGGTGAATGTCTCTCTTCAGATACATAAATAATAAAACTCTTTTACAATGGAAGTGTGACAAGGGATTTATAGACTATGACATCAGAGATACCTAAACAATAATTATGTAATAATACAGGATTATTTTGCAAAGCAAACTAACCTTAATAGTTTTGTTAACAGATCAAGTTTTCAATTTGAAATTTAGTTAAATACCAGCAATAATAAAAACTTTTAGATTTACGTGATGACAAAGTTTTTTTTAATTCCGTCAAAGAGGTAAAAAAATGTTTGAAATTATGATAACCGATTTTGAAGTTTGCGAATGAACATGAAGTTTTGGCGCAACTTCCTACAGCAACTTTCTTCATAGACGAGTTAAATTTAATTTATTTAAATTAGTTTTATTTAAATTAGCACACGAAAGGTGCATAGTGCATTTTTTCAATATAGTTTTCATTTTTATTACTTCCTCCCTTTTATCTGTCATGTCATATTCCTTTTCCAAAATTCCCTTTTACCTTATTCCTGGGGGTTTCATTCCCTTTGAGTAGAGTTTTGTTTTCTTTTGAGAGTTTGTCTTGCTAGGAATTACTAGTGTGAACGTGATAATTCACTTCACTATCGCATCAGAATTTCCAGATTAACTGGGTTAACGGAATGCAGTCAATTTTTCTCACTCTAGCAATGTGTGTTTTCTCACTGCAAAGTGGGCATTTACTCTTTTGTCAAAAATAAAAATAAAAATAAAATTCCATAACTTCATACCACATGCGCAATGTAAAAGAAAACATCAAGCTACATCAACTACAACTAACACATGAACAAACCTCCACACATCGCTGACTCAATGACAATCTATTTCCTCCACCAAACATTTTTGTAGATCCTGACTGAAATTAACCTTTTTTTTTTTTGTAACGCATTTCATTTTATTAAGGATAGAAATCCAAATACAGAAATACCTAGAACCATACGTGCAACTCGATATAGCTCTATAACAAAATGTAATATATCTTACTAAATCAAAACAAAAATACAAAAAAAAAACAGACCTTACCCTAAACAAACCTATACTATCAAATCTCTATCTCTAACTATCCTAATCCTATACTACGAGTGTTCTCCGATACAGAAGTGGTTCTTATCCTTAACAAGTTAATATACTAGGTTTATGCGACAAGCCCCCCCTCTTCCAACGTCAAACACCCAATTCCTTTCATCCTAACTACCTACAAAACAAAAAGTTAGTATGTATCCCCAAGAAATTAGAACCAACGACTCCTAAGGGACACTAAGCATAAAGCAGAATCGCGGCGCGATTGGTCCAGCCTGTCCAGTTCAAGTTCCTCGAATCAAATTAACCTTTTGGTTCCCATCAGAGATTCTTATTTAATAACAACACACTCTTATTACATCGGACAGAATTGAATCTTTTAGCTTTCAGTTGTCTAATTCATTAATACAATAAATCATCTTTGATACTTTCTGATAATATTTTAATGTCATATCATCTTTGTTACTTGTCTGTGCTGATAATATTTTAATTGTCATAATTCACCCTTCTCTTGTATTTTTAATTAATAAGCTCTATATATAGAATTTTGATGTTGTTTTTAATTTAAATAGCGAACTGTGTTTTCCAATTAGAATTAATCAACGTCTGATTTCTTGCTAATTCTTTTAGCTGGTTACAAAAGTGCAGACTGAGGCGATATTAACAATAAATAACACAATTACCTTGTAATCGTACTTTATTCCTTCCAATTTTTATTATATTTCATTTATCACCGTTCATCTTACATTTGGCTGCGATATAAGCGTGACTGTTAGATTAAATATAACTACTGTATTGTAATATATCTGAAGATGAGTCAAATTGGAGTAATAACATAATGCTTACCTTTAACAAATAAGCTTAAATAATTTTTTAACTGAAGTATCTCATAATCGCCACCAATATTGAAATACTTATAAGGATTCATCTTTTTATTTACCAAGATTTTCATCTTTTTTCAAAATCTTTACTTCTTTTTGCATAACGCCAAAAACCTTCAAATTTATTTATTTTAGAAAAAAAAAATCCATACATAATTCTTTAGATAATTGATTTATAAAAAAATCCAGAAGCGAAAAAAAAACACTTATTAATTTATTGAGAAATGTTTTATATTCTTTCTTTCTTTTTTTTCTAAATAATTCTAAATTAAATAAAAAAAAGTAAACGGTAATTATTACAGAACATATTAGAATTTATTAACTAAATTAATTGTTTTAAGTCATCATAGTAATTATGATTATTATCAACTAATTTATTTACTTTTAATACACACATAACAAATTTTTTTGAGATTTTTTTTCGTCAAAGTAAAATTTTCATAGTTATCTTTTCATACTAAAATTATTGGTTTATGGAAATGATTTCCACTTTGAACTAGCCAAAAGTCCATCTATATAACTAAAAATTTTGTCTGCCGTTTAGAATAGTCTCCATATAAATAATTTGAATTATGTAATATGAAACCCCGTGACATATTTGCGCCTGATCTATTAATCGTTACGTAATAATTTCTTTCATTCAAACTTATTAAACCAAATATTCTACGGAAATTCTTCTCTTAGATATAACTTTTTTAGTAGACGGAAATAACCACGTTGTTTATTTAAAATAAATTCAATTGAAAATAACTAAATTGACTTTTCATCAATCATGTTTTTATTGATTTTTTTAAATAAGATTTAAAAATAACAACAAATTAATAATTATTGCTCATTTTCATTTTATGATTATAGTATTATTGATTATCTTTTAAATGATTTAAGTGAAGAAGATAAAATAAAATTAAAAGAAAATGAAATTAATTACCATTAAATACATTATTTAATTATCCAAGTTTTATTAAAAAGTTAAATAATTGGATTTTGTAATTTATCGACCCCCTGATGCATCGACCCCCCTATGTGATACAAATCATGAAACACACATATAGGTATATAAATAAACCTTTATTTATTAATAATAATAAAAAATTGCTCAGTTAGTTCAATCAGTAGAACACTTGATAATATACTTTTTATCATAGAGATGCAGGTTCGATTCCTGCACTGGGTCTTTTATTTATTTGTTTTTTTTTTTTAAACATCCGGAGTTTCGTTCAGCGACTAAGTCACATTACATATAACACGTGATTAAATATATGCGCATGCGTCAAAGCGCATTCAAGAACGATTAACAGTAAAGAAAGCATTAAAGAATCTTTATTCACTAAAGAACTAAGCATTACAATTCTTTTGGTAGTGTCCCAAATTGCCACATTTCTTGCAACACCTTCGTTGCTTTTGTTTTTTCGCTCTGATCCTTCTCATTCGATGCTTTATATACAAACAACCAAAAATAGTTTGAACCATTCCACCTCTTACAGAATTTACAGGTGGTGGCTTTTTAGCCAAAAGAAAAATACGGATCATGAGACTACAACCTATATTTCGTTGAAATACCTTGATCATATTATCATGATCGTTGATCAAAACTTATTTTATTACAATATATAAACTCTTCGCACAATTTTTATATAGACTATATTTTAGCTAGGAACAATTAATTTTATGTTTTTCTTTTTTTAGATGCTTTTTTACTTTCGGATGGGCCAGTGCGATTTATTTTTTTCCCATTTGAATAGTTAGCGTAGTCCTAGCTTTTTGAATAGTTTGTTCGAAGGGTGAGGTCCCATAGGGAATGAATTTCCAAAATTCTGTACACGTATATTAGCTATCATCATGTAAATGTTGCATTACTTCTATTTGTAATAGCTTTGGTTATACTACTCTTCTAGTAATAAAATAAAAAATAAATAAAATAAAAAATTTTTTTTATAAAGAAAAAATCGTATTTTTTTAATCTGTATAACAGTACTATTTGCATTGTTTGTAGACCATGTCACATCGGCCTAAATTAAAAGATCATCGTTGGTACAGTCTTAAGGCATTATTAGAATGGGCCGATAATTTAGGCCGATGGTACGATTTGTACTCTTTGGGATGTATGATTTAATAGCTTACATATATACATGTATGGTTTCATACACTACATACTTCGTCATCCATACACTACAAGTTATCTATATACTCCGATTTGGGACATAGTAGAGTTTGGTCTACAACAGTATAATGCGCATTATGCCATAATAAAATGAAATTTTCGTCCCTAGGCACAATTATTTCAGTATGTCACTAGCAGTTACCCGTTGCCCCGCACCGGGACCAATGAGTTTGTTTAAATAGAAAATTTTAGTATTATAATGTAATACTAAGTTAATTAAAGATGGTTACAGCAGTTTTTTGTTTATAATTAGAATTTAATATAGGTAATAATTAGTTAACAAAATAATATGTACTAAAATTATAATCATAATATTAGAATGATATAAATTATATTGGAAATTGGTAAACATCGCCTGGGTCTTCGATCATGCGGCAGATTTGTCATATTTATTTGTTTATAGGTTCAAGGTTCGTTTTCTCAGTTATTTCGGTCTCGAGGTATTTTTCTTTTTTTCTTTTTATTTTTATTTCTAACTTACATCCTTACACTTTGTTTCCTACTAACTCTATTTCATTATTTTTAGGTCTTTTAGTCCTTCCGGTTCTACAATTAATAAAGGTATGTTTTTATTTTTTATTTATTTTATTTATTTTGTTTCTATCTTATATTTCGTTTCTTACTAACTTCATTTTTTTTACTTTATGATTTATTTTATTACTTGGTTTCCTATCATTATCTTTTGCTACCCAACCTCGTATCATGATTTTTTTTTTATTTTTTATCTCTCATCATTTTTCACCTCCTATTACTTCTTATTATTACATCCTTTTCGTATCCCATTATTTTCTATTACATCTTTTCATTTTCCATTATTTCTTTTTCTCTCCTGTTTACTTCCCATCATTTCTTTTTGTTTCTCATCACTTCTTTTCGTCTCCCATCACTCCTCTTCATCTTCCTATTACTCTTCTTCGTCTTCCATCACTCCTCTTCATCTTCCTATTACTCCTCCTCGTCTCCCATCACTCCTCTTCATCTTCCCATCACTTCTTTTTGTCTCCCATCACTCCTTTTCGTCCTCCATCACTCCTTTTCACCTTGTCATTACTCCTCTTCATCTTCCAATCACTCTTTTTCGTCTCCCATCACTCCTCTTCATCTTCCATCATGTCCTATTTCTCCTTTTTGCTTCCTAACACTTCTCATTACTCTTTTTTACTCCCTTTCATCTTCTATTACTTCTCATTACTCCATTGTTATTTTAGAATCTTTTTTCTTGATCATTATAATTTACTTATCTTTTCTTTTATTTGTATCACTTCATTAAAAAATAAATACAGCAATTTTTTTCTTTAAAATTGTAAATGTGTGATTTAAAATTTAATATTTACAAATAAAATTTTATTAGATAAGATTATTTTGGATAAATATGCTTGCAAAAAAATTTTTTTTTTAAAAATAGATGTTTGCGATAAAATTTTTAAGTTTAGCCGATCAAAAATTATTCTTTATATATTGTACATCATGTGACATATTTAAAAAAAATCCAGGCGACAATCGCCGAAAAAACTTTAATATTGTGAAATTACTACAAATATTTTTATTAATTAATTATAAATTTTATAATTATTTCTTTTTTATAAAAAAATTTATGTAAAAAAAAAAAATAATAAATAATAACGTTTATCAAATAATTGTTATAATCGAAAAAAGTCAAAAAGTATTATAAAAAAAATCATAACAAAAAAAGTGATAAATAAAAAAAAAGTCATAACGGGAAAAAATATTTATAAAAAAAATTACGTAAAAAAAAATGGGTTTAGTCTATAAAAAAAAAATTAATAATCAACAAATGATCTAAACAAATGATGATCTGCAATTCGGAATTCATACCTTGAACTTACCGATATTAACCTAAATAGTCTAGAAAATAAAGAAGGCGCAAGCAGAAAATATATTACACAATTCAAAACTATTTATACATGATAGTCTAAACGTTACGATTTTTTCATGTATTTTCTTAGTTATATAGTTTGTAAAATAATAAATTTCGTTGTATTCTCTTGGTTAGTGTATAATATGCATCATTCTATTTTCTAAATTTGTATTGGGCGCAAATGTTTGTGATCTTCCAAAAGCGCCTAATGNCCTTAATACTGATAGATTATTAAAATAAAATGAAACCTCATTTTTGAGTTATTAAGTCGTTGTTTGTTGCATATTTTTTAGTTTTTGGAACAACTAACTTGTGATTCCTTTCTTTTTGCACCTGTAAATCATAGGTTATTAAGAAAGGTTTGGTTTTCACAAAAAACTTTTTTTTTCATATTAAGAGACTCTTAGTGTAAGTAAAAAATAATAAAATGCAATCAGTAGACGATAGGGAGGACTCTATCTTTCTGACGATCATTCCAACCAAAATTTTGCGGAAAGAAAAATGTCTTTTACATGAAATTTTATTAATTAGAGTTTTTTTACGAACAAAAATACCTAAAAAAGTGGTGTGGGTATAGTTCTTTCATAGGAAACAGTGGAACTCTCCTTTTGGTCCTTCATTTTAAGTAATAATGTCCTCGTTTATGGTCTTTTACTTGACAAAAACATTTTCTTTTCTTCGTCACTGGCTTCAGTTTCATATAGCGCTGCAAAAAAAATTATACTGGACAAAAAAAGTTAAAGGAATAGAGAAGAACCAATTAAAGTTCAGAGTTATGAGTTGATCATTGTAGATCGGATAAATTATTTTTTCTGTAGCAATCACATGGTACATTTGTAGATTCTATATAATTAGTTTTCAGAAGCTTAGTTAATTCGTTACCAAATTGATTTCATTTTGGTGACACTCATTTCCCATTACAAGGGATAAGAATTCAGGTCTAGTGATACTTGATAGTTTCGCGTATGTTAGTCAAGGATGTCTATAGAGAAGGATGACAAATAGGATTTTTTTGTGCAGGGTTAAAGTATTTAAATTTACTTATTAAAATAAATATGTTCCGATCCTTGATCATTGATCCCTTGATACTATTAATTAATACACTTAACTCCCATCAGTCCCATGTTCTGTGGTGGGTACTGGAACAAAAAATACTGGCTAGTTATTATATTAAAATTAACGGACCTAATTAAGGTTACACAAGTTTTTCTAATATAAAAATGATCTAAGTACGTTCCATGACTGACACATAATTGTTTGTAAAAAAATAAAAAAACAGACAAAAATATGGCAAATGCACAAGAGTATATAAATCAAAAGTACCCTACTAAAGAAAAAAGGGGGGAAATAAAAATCTTGCGTCTTGAACGAAAAGATTTAGAAGGTCATTTAGACTTATCTGACTTCGTGAATTTAGAAAAGTTATATTGTTCAGAAAATGAACTTGTTGGTATTGATTTGTCACTTACTCATCCCGAAAAAATGACCTATTTAGATATTGGCAATAACAACTTCGCTCCTTCTGACTTATCGCTTTTTAGTAAGTTTATTAATTTAAAAGTGTTGTCTATAGGTGCTGATAAGGAAGAAAAAGTAAAGCTAAATAAATATAACCGGTTTTACGGAAGTTTGGAGCCTTTGAAGAGTTTAAAATTGAATACCTTAGATATTAGAGCTACTGACATAAACGAGGGTCTAGAATTTTTATCGGATTCTTTGGATTCTATTCTTTGTGAACCAGTTAGAGATGATGCCAAAGTGAAAACAATCCATGAATTGACCAAACCTTATTACAATAGACTTTCAAACGCTTTCGACATTAAAAAGTGTAAAGATTATTTTATTACTCTTCTTCGGCGTAAAATAACTGAGTTAGAAAAAGAAAGTGCCTGTTTGGAAAAGCAATTGGAAGAAATTAAGAAATTAGGGGAAGAAGAACTAAAAATACTTCAAGCCGAGTTAACTAATATAGGAGAAAATTTACAAAAAGAAATTAAAGAAAAAGAAAGAGTGATAAAAGAATTGGAAACTAACTTAACACGAGAAGAGAAAGACAACCAGAAATTGAAAGAATATTTGGAAGAAGAAAAACACACTTTAGAGAAGTTGAAGGAAAATTTAGAAGAAATTCAAAAAAATAGAGATGAATTACAAGAAGCATACCGAAAATTCAAGGAAGAACAAACTAAGGAATTGAATTTAATTAATGAGCAATTACAAGAAGCGGGAAAAAAAATAAAGGAATTAGAGACAAAAGTATTGGAATCAGAAAGTAAAAAAGAAGAATTAGAAGAAGCTAAAAAAAAATTAGTAGAGGATAGTGAGCATTGGCATGGACGAGTCAGTAGTTTAGAGAAAGATTTAAAAAGAGCAGAAGAAGAATTAAAGAAAAAAGAAAAGATGTTAGAATCACTTATCGATGGAACAAGAGAAAAAGAAGATTTGCAACAAAAAATAAAAGTTGATAAAGTTAAGATGAATGCTATTAAAGATGAAAAGGATAAAGCAGAAAGAGAGCTAATAATAACTAATAATGGTTTGCAGGAAATTGAAAAACAATTAGATAATTTAGCTATTGAAGTAGACAGTATTATGAGAGAAAAGAAAAGCAAAATATTGGAAAAAGAACGATTAATTCGGCAAAAAAGTTGGTGGGAAAAAAAGCCTATTACTTCAGCACTCAAAGTGGTTGGTTTTGGAAAATGGGCAGAAAGAGCAAGAAAGATAGATTCGTTAGAAGAAGAAATAGAAGACTTATCTAGAGATGAAGAGTCGAAGAAAGCTCAACTTGAAGTGATTGGTAAGTCTGAGAAAATAATGAAAGGAATTAGGATAATTAGTATAGAAGAAGAATTAGCAGATGTCAATAACAAATTAGCAGATGCCAATGAAACATTAGCAGATGTCAATAAAAAATTAGCAGATAAAAATACTAATTATCAAAAACTATACGAAGAAAATGAATCTCAAAAAAGCCAAATAGAAAATTTGTTAACTTACCAGAAATATGCAGAAATTTCTTTACAGATTAAGAAAGAAAAAAGTGAATGTAAGTTGAGCAAACCTGCACAGAAAGCACTGGAAGAACTTTTTAACAAGGTTCAGGATGAACAAAACGAATTAGTAAAGGATGTAAAAGAAAAATCTTTTGAAGATTGGGGATTAGAAGAGGCAGAAAAAGAAAAAATAAATTCGTTTCTTGATAAGTACACAGAGTTACTGAAGTTGGAAAATGAGTTAATTGATAAACAGCAAACTTAAATCCAAATCCCTCCTAAATAACCCAGGTGAACACAAAAGCTCCCCTTATCTAATAAGCACTTTTAAGAAGAGCAAAATCAGAGATTTTGTCTTTACCTCCAAATTTACTTATCAGATACTCATTCTAAACTACTTTTGACTTCCATATTCTTTAAAAAATCTTCATATCTTTTTCATTATTGGATGTTCGCTTGGCGGTTTTAACTTCCTATGAAAATCTATAACTATGTCTAAATAATCTGGAATATTTTTCCAAAATTAACAATTTTTGCTTATTCTATTCCAAACTTCGATTATCTCTATTTTTTTTGGATTAGTCATATTTAACTTATTCAACTTTAAAGGAGAATTCTTAAAGTTTTGGTTTATGATTAAAGTCCATTTGGCATTAAATTTTGGCAGAACCGTAGAAGAGAGGATATTTTAAACATATTTAGATTTATGTGTTTAAATCATCCTTGAAGTTAAACTAAAGATTTAATTGGAACGGCTTAAAATCTACTTAATTACGGTAATACCTGTCTTTATAAGTATGAAAATTTGAAAAACAATAACAAACAATGAGGGTACAAATATAAATAAATAATGTACAAAATTTGTCAATTCCGGTAATTTATTGTAGGTTAGTGTATTACTACAAGTATTAAATTATAAACAAGTTATTTTATATTTTTTAATAAAATTAAATTAATTTTTTTTTGCATATATTAAATATAAATAAGATATTTTTAATTTTATATAATTTAAAAAAAATTTTAAAAAGGACAAATTTATTTGTAACATCTGTTACACACCTTATTTGTAACAACATCGAAAAATTAGGTCGGATAAAAAAATTTTTGTGCATTTTTTATTAATTTATGCGTTATTTAAAACATAGCAGATAGGTATTATGTATTTATTATTGTAAAAAATCATATAACTGAATGCGGGTATCCGCACAAAAATAAAATCAGTACAAGTATTAACGCATAATTGTTTGAATTTCCTAAAACTCATGCCCTTTATTTAAAGAAACTTAATCTTTCTATAAAATTCCCAAAATAAAACTCTATAAGCTATAAACGTCAATGATTTCTGCAAATGTAATATATCATTAGCTGGTGTCAAAAATGAACCAACATAAAGAAATACAATGAACGGATAATATTACCAATTCTGACACCTTGCACTATTATGTCCAGTTCTACCACACGTTTTGCAGGCATATTTCACGTGAGATTTTTTTTCAGTTGATGATTTATACCGCTTTGTTTCTGGGCGTCCTTTACGCCTGTCTCTTATACACATCTAGATGTGTATAAGAGACATCCTTTATTTTATTATCGAAAAAAAAAAATTAGATCTTTAGTTATCAAATATCAAATAAAAAAATTTTTTAAAAAAAATGAATCTTTACTCTGGTATTTTTTTAAATTGATTTAAATTAAAATAAAAAAAAAAATTTCATGTAATTAAAATAACAATTCATGTCGTAAATTCATACACCTTATATTTTTTTTTTCTTTAAATTAAAACCCAATTATCACTTCATCTATTGAAAATTTGTATATAAATACTCTATCTTTTTTTTTACTTAAAAAAAACGAAAAAAAACGTATATTTATATTTTTAAAATTTGAAAAAAAAAAATTACAATATATTTTCTACCACCTATATTTTAATGCCAGCAAACTTGAGTACGATGTGCTACATTTACGATTCAACTCAGCGGCCAGCGGAATATAACATAAAAGAAATAACTGGAATATCCAGACTGAGCGATGAAGACCCAACCAAAATCATATATCTAAAAATCAAAGTGTTTGTTCCATTGAATAAAGAAATTGAAACACAAATCAAAGAATTTGAAAATGGTCAGGTAATTTACTTGAGAGGTAAATTTATTGCCTGCAATGGATGGTTCATGTATGTTATTGACTTTTTAATTCAAAAAACAAAAAAAAAATAATGAAATAAAATAAAAATTAATATCAAATTATTAAATTTGAAAATTGAATTAATAGATGAACGCTACATTCATTAAACCTATGGCAAATCTTGATTTTGATATGATGCCAGCTGTAGGCATAAACATAATGGTGACAGGTTTGGCCCCTCAAACTGTTAAAAATGTGGATGGCGAATCTGTTCTTGACTTTCACGTGGAATAAAATCTTGGAAATAGAGAACCAAAGGATTTTGGGTTATAGATGAGACATAATTCAAATATTAATTATTTCCAATAAAACTAATTCTATCAATCAACAATAAGGTCTACAATGGCAATTTTAACAGACCTACTTTATTATCAAGAATCCATCATAGATAATACACAAGTGAAAAACTACACCTGGGAAACGTATCTTGAAATTAGATGATATATCACTAATTTCTAGCAATCGACCTAATACATCTGCTCAATCCATTAATCTACCATGGTTAAACCAAGAGTCAACAAGTTCAAGAAACACATCCCATACGTCAAGAGGATCCACACCATGTTCAAAAAGAAGTTATGTTACACTTTCACATCTATCCCCCATCAGGAAGACTCAAGATCAATCACTAGCATCCGCATTACAAGAAACCCCCTTCCAACCATGACCCAAAATAAACCTCTAGTGAAACTTAAATAATAACATTTATTCTCTTTTTTTTAAAAAATATATATATATATATATATATATTTTTTAACCATATAATTGCCAAGTGTAAAAAAATCAATAATAAACAAAAAAGGTATCAGATTACATAAAACTTATTTTCCTTTATTAATAAGATATACTTTCCATAATTCCGTTAATTTTTTATTTATTATTTTTTTTTTTTTAATAATTATCCTCAAAGGGAACAGGATTTTTTATTATTTCTCAAAATAATGTATTTTACATAATTTCTTTATTTTCTTTACAATAAAATCCAATTAAAGTAAAAATACTATGCTTTATATTTTTAAGTATATCAATAATCGTATCTCACCAAAAAAATTATTTATATTAAAAAAAGCTAAGAAACTTTTCACATATTATATACCATCAATCATACTTTGATCCTTAAGATTTATGCACACTAAATTTATACATGCTAAAATACTATTAATCAGACCTTGAATCTTAAAACCAAGAAACAGAAAATGTCACGGAAACCTTAATACTGATAGATTATTAAAATAAAATGAAACCTCATTTTTGAGTTATTAAGTCGTTGTTTGTTGCATATTTTTTAGTTTTTGGAACAACTAACTTGTGATTCCTTTCTTTTTGCACCTGTAAATCATAGGTTATTAAGAAAGGTTTGGTTTTCACAAAAAACTTTTTTTTTCATATTAAGAGACTCTTAGTGTAAGTAAAAAATAATAAAATGCAATCAGTAGACGATAGGGAGGACTCTATCTTTCTGACGATCATTCCAACCAAAATTTTGCGGAAAGAAAAATGTCTTTTACATGAAATTTTATTAATTAGAGTTTTTTTACGAACAAAAATACCTAAAAAAGTGGTGTGGGTATAGTTCTTTCATAGGAAACAGTGGAACTCTCCTTTTGGTCCTTCATTTTAAGTAATAATGTCCTCGTTTATGGTCTTTTACTTGACAAAAACATTTTCTTTTCTTCGTCACTGGCTTCAGTTTCATATAGCGCTGCAAAAAAAATTATACTGGACAAAAAAAGTTAAAGGAATAGAGAAGAACCAATTAAAGTTCAGAGTTATGAGTTGATCATTGTAGATCGGATAAATTATTTTTTCTGTAGCAATCACATGGTACATTTGTAGATTCTATATAATTAGTTTTCAGAAGCTTAGTTAATTCGTTACCAAATTGATTTCATTTTGGTGACACTCATTTCCCATTACAAGGGATAAGAATTCAGGTCTAGTGATACTTGATAGTTTCGCGTATGTTAGTCAAGGATGTCTATAGAGAAGGATGACAAATAGGATTTTTTTGTGCAGGGTTAAAGTATTTAAATTTACTTATTAAAATAAATATGTTCCGATCCTTGATCATTGATCCCTTGATACTATTAATTAATACACTTAACTCCCATCAGTCCCATGTTCTGTGGTGGGTACTGGAACAAAAAATACTGGCTAGTTATTATATTAAAATTAACGGACCTAATTAAGGTTACACAAGTTTTTCTAATATAAAAATGATCTAAGTACGTTCCATGACTGACACATAATTGTTTGTAAAAAAATAAAAAAACAGACAAAAATATGGCAAATGCACAAGAGTATATAAATCAAAAGTACCCTACTAAAGAAAAAAGGGGGGAAATAAAAATCTTGCGTCTTGAACGAAAAGATTTAGAAGGTCATTTAGACTTATCTGACTTCGTGAATTTAGAAAAGTTATATTGTTCAGAAAATGAACTTGTTGGTATTGATTTGTCACTTACTCATCCCGAAAAAATGACCTATTTAGATATTGGCAATAACAACTTCGCTCCTTCTGACTTATCGCTTTTTAGTAAGTTTATTAATTTAAAAGTGTTGTCTATAGGTGCTGATAAGGAAGAAAAAGTAAAGCTAAATAAATATAACCGGTTTTACGGAAGTTTGGAGCCTTTGAAGAGTTTAAAATTGAATACCTTAGATATTAGAGCTACTGACATAAACGAGGGTCTAGAATTTTTATCGGATTCTTTGGATTCTATTCTTTGTGAACCAGTTAGAGATGATGCCAAAGTGAAAACAATCCATGAATTGACCAAACCTTATTACAATAGACTTTCAAACGCTTTCGACATTAAAAAGTGTAAAGATTATTTTATTACTCTTCTTCGGCGTAAAATAACTGAGTTAGAAAAAGAAAGTGCCTGTTTGGAAAAGCAATTGGAAGAAATTAAGAAATTAGGGGAAGAAGAACTAAAAATACTTCAAGCCGAGTTAACTAATATAGGAGAAAATTTACAAAAAGAAATTAAAGAAAAAGAAAGAGTGATAAAAGAATTGGAAACTAACTTAACACGAGAAGAGAAAGACAACCAGAAATTGAAAGAATATTTGGAAGAAGAAAAACACACTTTAGAGAAGTTGAAGGAAAATTTAGAAGAAATTCAAAAAAATAGAGATGAATTACAAGAAGCATACCGAAAATTCAAGGAAGAACAAACTAAGGAATTGAATTTAATTAATGAGCAATTACAAGAAGCGGGAAAAAAAATAAAGGAATTAGAGACAAAAGTATTGGAATCAGAAAGTAAAAAAGAAGAATTAGAAGAAGCTAAAAAAAAATTAGTAGAGGATAGTGAGCATTGGCATGGACGAGTCAGTAGTTTAGAGAAAGATTTAAAAAGAGCAGAAGAAGAATTAAAGAAAAAAGAAAAGATGTTAGAATCACTTATCGATGGAACAAGAGAAAAAGAAGATTTGCAACAAAAAATAAAAGTTGATAAAGTTAAGATGAATGCTATTAAAGATGAAAAGGATAAAGCAGAAAGAGAGCTAATAATAACTAATAATGGTTTGCAGGAAATTGAAAAACAATTAGATAATTTAGCTATTGAAGTAGACAGTATTATGAGAGAAAAGAAAAGCAAAATATTGGAAAAAGAACGATTAATTCGGCAAAAAAGTTGGTGGGAAAAAAAGCCTATTACTTCAGCACTCAAAGTGGTTGGTTTTGGAAAATGGGCAGAAAGAGCAAGAAAGATAGATTCGTTAGAAGAAGAAATAGAAGACTTATCTAGAGATGAAGAGTCGAAGAAAGCTCAACTTGAAGTGATTGGTAAGTCTGAGAAAATAATGAAAGGAATTAGGATAATTAGTATAGAAGAAGAATTAGCAGATGTCAATAACAAATTAGCAGATGCCAATGAAACATTAGCAGATGTCAATAAAAAATTAGCAGATAAAAATACTAATTATCAAAAACTATACGAAGAAAATGAATCTCAAAAAAGCCAAATAGAAAATTTGTTAACTTACCAGAAATATGCAGAAATTTCTTTACAGATTAAGAAAGAAAAAAGTGAATGTAAGTTGAGCAAACCTGCACAGAAAGCACTGGAAGAACTTTTTAACAAGGTTCAGGATGAACAAAACGAATTAGTAAAGGATGTAAAAGAAAAATCTTTTGAAGATTGGGGATTAGAAGAGGCAGAAAAAGAAAAAATAAATTCGTTTCTTGATAAGTACACAGAGTTACTGAAGTTGGAAAATGAGTTAATTGATAAACAGCAAACTTAAATCCAAATCCCTCCTAAATAACCCAGGTGAACACAAAAGCTCCCCTTATCTAATAAGCACTTTTAAGAAGAGCAAAATCAGAGATTTTGTCTTTACCTCCAAATTTACTTATCAGATACTCATTCTAAACTACTTTTGACTTCCATATTCTTTAAAAAATCTTCATATCTTTTTCATTATTGGATGTTCGCTTGGCGGTTTTAACTTCCTATGAAAATCTATAACTATGTCTAAATAATCTGGAATATTTTTCCAAAATTAACAATTTTTGCTTATTCTATTCCAAACTTCGATTATCTCTATTTTTTTTGGATTAGTCATATTTAACTTATTCAACTTTAAAGGAGAATTCTTAAAGTTTTGGTTTATGATTAAAGTCCATTTGGCATTAAATTTTGGCAGAACCGTAGAAGAGAGGATATTTTAAACATATTTAGATTTATGTGTTTAAATCATCCTTGAAGTTAAACTAAAGATTTAATTGGAACGGCTTAAAATCTACTTAATTACGGTAATACCTGTCTTTATAAGTATGAAAATTTGAAAAACAATAACAAACAATGAGGGTACAAATATAAATAAATAATGTACAAAATTTGTCAATTCCGGTAATTTATTGTAGGTTAGTGTATTACTACAAGTATTAAATTATAAACAAGTTATTTTATATTTTTTAATAAAATTAAATTAATTTTTTTTTGCATATATTAAATATAAATAAGATATTTTTAATTTTATATAATTTAAAAAAAATTTTAAAAAGGACAAATTTATTTGTAACATCTGTTACACACCTTATTTGTAACAACATCGAAAAATTAGGTCGGATAAAAAAATTTTTGTGCATTTTTTATTAATTTATGCGTTATTTAAAACATAGCAGATAGGTATTATGTATTTATTATTGTAAAAAATCATATAACTGAATGCGGGTATCCGCACAAAAATAAAATCAGTACAAGTATTAACGCATAATT